GGAGGCTATAAGATGTCTTAAAGAAATTTCACTATTTTGTATCATATGGTGCATCATGTATACAAAATAGTGAAATTTCTTTAAGACATATTGAGTCCAGAATATCGAATTTGATATGGTTGCATATCTCATTTGCGTGCACGGGATTCCGAACAAGTTCGAAACACCTCGTCGGAGTTTGTCTAAGTTTCTGAAAAAATGCTGAAATTTGATTTATTTATTGCAGAAAACTCAGCACTTTTTGAAAACTTTAAAAGGTCATATCTCTCCCATTTCTTGGCCAAAAAAGCGATTCGAAGTGTGAAAGCTTCATTTTTTTGGTGGATTTGATGTAGAGTAATTGGAAATTATTGGGTGCACGTCGTTTGAGGTAAAAATAGCATTAAACGAGACTGTTTTGCCCTTTATCAAGTTTTTATTTTTGGCCTTCTTGATTTGGTCATATCCTGCTTATTTTACCTCGGTTTTAAGTGATTCAAAGTCTCACGTGTCGGGAATTATCGAGGCTACGTCGTGGAATGTTCAAGGCGTGTTGGGCACCTTTCAATTCTTGTCAATTCTGAGTTTTATCTACTGCATGCTTTCTTTTTAAGTTGGTATTAGAGCCCTAGGTTCACCGATCTAACTTGCATAGAGCTAGCATCTAGTAGAGTTCTACGAATAGACGTAATGACATCAATGTTTTATCTTTAGGAGGCTATAGGGTGTCTTAAGAAAATTTCTTTATTTTGTATCATATCGTGCATCATGTCTATTATCAGTTCCTTAAAAATTTGGACTGCTCTATCGAGTTTGGAATATCAAATTTGGTATGGTTGTATATCTCGTTTGCGTGCATGGGTTTTCCAACGAGTTCAGAAAATACCGTCGGAATTTTTATGTTTTCGAAAAAAATGCTGAAATAGGGCTTATTTATAGTAGAAAAGTTTGCATTTTTTGAAAATGTTAAAAGCTCATCTCTCTCATTTCTTGGTCAAAAAATGTGATTCAAAGTGCGGAAGCTTCATTTTTTTGGTGGCTTTGCTGTAGAGTAATTAGAAGATGTCGGTTGCATGTCGTTCGAGGTAAAAATAACATTAAATCAGACTTTTTGTCCTTTTTTGAATTTTTATTTTTGGTCTTCTTGATTTAGTCATATCTTTTTCATTTTAGTTCGGTTTTGAGTGATTCAATATCCCACGTGTTGTGAATTATGAACCTACATCGTGGAGTGTTCACGGAGTGTTAGACACACTTTGATTTTGGTAAATTCTAGGTTTTACCTATTGCATGCTTTCTTTTTAAGTTGATATTAGAGCCCTATTTTCACCGGTCTCACTTGTACAGAGCTAGCACCTAGTAGAGTTCTACGGATAGACGCAATGACATCCGTGTTTTATCTTTAGGAGGCTATAAGATGTCTTAAAGAAATTTCACTATTTTGTACCATATGGTGCATCATGTATATTATTAGTTCCATGGAAATTTCGATTGTTCCATTGAGTCCAGAATATCGAATTTGATATGGTTGCATATCTCATTTGCGTACACGGGGTTTCGAACAAGTTCGGAACACCTCGTCGGAGTTTTTCTAAGTTTCTGAAAAAAATGCTGAAATTTGATTTATTTATTGCAGAAAACTCAGCACTTTTTGAAAACCTTAAAAGGTCATATCTCTCCCATTTCTTGGCCAAAAAAGCGATTCGAAGTGCGAAAGCTTCATTTTTTTGGTGGATTTGATGTAGAGTAATTGGAAATTATTGGGTGCACGTCGTTTGAGGTAAAAATAGCATTAAACGAGACTGTTTTGCCCTTTATCAAGTTTTTATTTTTGGCCTTCTTGATTTGGTCATATCCTGCTTATTTTACCTCGGTTTTAAGTGATTCAAAGTCTCACGTGTCGGGAATTATCGAGGCTACGTCGTGGAATGTTCAAGGCGTGTTGGGCACCTTTCAATTCTTGTCAATTCTGAGTTTTATCTACTGCATGCTTTCTTTTTAAGTTGGTATTAGAGCCCTAGGTTCACCGATCTAACTTGCATAGAGCTAGCATCTAGTAGAGTTCTACGAATAGACGTAATGACATCAATGTTTTATCTTTAGGAGGCTATAGGGTGTCTTAAGAAAATTTCTTTATTTTGTATCATATCGTGCATCATGTCTATTATCAGTTCCTTAAAAATTTGGACTGCTCTATCGAGTTTGGAATATCAAATTTGGTATGGTTATATATCTCGTTTGCATGCATGGGTTTTCCACCGAGTTTAGAAAATACCGTCGGAGTTTTTATGTTTTCGAAAAAAATGCTGAAATAGGGCTTATTTATAGCAGAAAAATCAGCACTTTTTAAAAAATTTAAAAGCTCAACTCTCTCATTTTTTTACCACAAAAGGTGATTGAAAGTGCGAAAGCTTCATTTTTTTGGTGGCTTTGCTGTAGAGTAATTGGAAGTTGTTGGGTGCGCGTTGTTCAAGTTAAAAATAGCATCAAACCAGATTGTTTTGCCCTTTTTTGAGTTTTTATTTTTGATCTTTTTGATTTGTTCATATCTTGTTCATTTTAGCTTGGTTTTGAGTGATTCTAAGTTCCTCGTGTTGGAAATTATCGAGGCTATGACGTAAAATGTTAAATGAGAGTTGGGCACCTTCGATTCTTGTAAATTCTGAGTTTTACCTGCTGCAAGCTTTTTTTTAAAGTTGGTATCAGAGCCTTAAGTTCACTAGTCTCACTTGTACAAGACTAGCACTTAGTATAGTCCTATGGATAGACACGATGACGTCCATCTTTTATCTTTAGGGGGTTATAGGGTGCCTTCAGGAAATTTCTTTATTTTGTATCATATTGTGCATCATGTCTATTATCAATTCCTTGAAATCTCTCTTATTTCATTCTTTTCGCAGGATGGATCATACGTGCGGCGGTGCGGCACAGGGTAGGGGTCGACCTCCTATGCTGGCTCGAGCACAAGCACCAGTACCAGCCCAGGAGATTTAGATGTTTTGAATTAGTGCTTGTTGGTTAAAGTGTGATTTTTTTTTTTGCATGTTGGATTTTGCTGCGTTTTGTGCTCCGAATTGTGTTCCATTTTAGAACACACGTTCGGGGTACTGATTTGGGTCTTTTGGTGGAGTCAAATCCAAAAAGTTTGGCGCGGGTCCCATGATTATCGTTTCAACTTCAAATTGACCTGTCTCCGTTTGTTGTGATTTTGGTGTCTAAACGATTGTACCAAAGTTGTGATCCTATATTTGATAGCGTGACAACGTTCAAAGGCCGTTCGAAAAGGAAAAGCTCCGGCGAAGTGATTTGAAACGTGCGTGGTCGGCCTAAACACTACAAGAAAAAGCCTTAATAAAGACCACCATTTAGCGACGGGTTAGAAATATGGTCCCTAAAAGTACTTATAGGGACGAGATATTTTTCTCGTCTATAGTTCTCGGTTTTTTATGTTTAATTAACAAAGAAATAAGATCTAGTCCCTAAAATAATTAAAATCTGGTCTCTATTCCTATATTAAAGGGGGAAATAACCACCAATTTAGTTTCTTCCTCAAAATAAAAGTTACAAACACCTAAAATAAAAAATATATATTTAACCGGGTACGGTTCTCCATTTTTCCACTATCTCTCAAAAGAACTAAGCCCTCATTAAATCTCTATAATGAATTCTCTAGGTTACCTAGCAAATTAAGACCACCAAAATAGGGATAAAGTTGTACATATTTGTAAATAATTAATCTTCTAAAAAGCCCTAATCCCATATCTTATACATCATAGTTATCTCCAAAATCAATTTGCGATTCTAGGATGATTTTGGTCGGTATATTGCTTCAGCTGCAAAAATTCTTTGTCAAGGTGGTCGGTGGTCGATGTACTACTTCCGCTGATGCTATCAGAGTTCCTACGTAACTTCTCTTTTAACAAATATACTTTTATTTTGCCATAAATTCAGATTTCGAAGTGGGTTCCTTAAATCTCTGAGTTGTTGATTATGTAGAAATTGAATAAAAACTAGGAGGCATTAGGGATATTTTCATGTAAAGAGATGATGGAGCAACCAAAACTAACAGACCTCCAATAAATTAAACTTTTAAAAAATCTGAAGTTCCTATGTATTTTTCTAACATGTTGATGTTTTCCTTGAGATTTAGAACATATTCTCTCAAAATGAAAAGCTTTGAAGCTATGAATAGAGTTTTTAGTCTAGACAAAAGTTAACTTATCTTTTGATTCATAATAATATTTGTACTTTCATAGTGTTCAAAGCTTTGGATTTTGCAGTACTATGAGGTTGTTTAAGAAAATTTCCTTCTGTTCATTGCTAGATTGTGGATTATTTCACAAATAAGGACTTGATATAATTGATTTTGACACTTTTCAAATAAAGTGACCCTCTATTTAATTGAATTTAATGTTACTATAGGACATTTGAATGTTGTATACATAGTCGTTTCTTTGTATTTCATAAAATAAAAAAAGGAGAAAAATTATCAAGCTTGTACAAATTAATCTCTTTAGGAAATAATCAATTATTTTCCTTACACTTTCCTCCCTCTTCCTATAGTCCGAGCGTCTTTTTTAGTCTTCTCACTTTGTTTGAGCTGAATTATATCCTCCCTCTCACCGGAAATGGTCGAGAGAGATGAAATGCACCATATTTTTTGTATTGAAAGCTCTAACTAGAATAGAATTCTAAAAATAGCCTTATATATTCATTATTTAGCTATAATTAAAGTATGTGTTTTGTATCTAAGGTTGTTTTCATCCTATTTGTGGCATTACAAAATGCTTCAGTTTTTGCACATTCATTCCATGTTCCTTCACTCAAACACAACTTTGATAAAGGGTATTTGGGGTGTGTGCAGTTGCTGGTTAACTTTTTCATATTTATAATCTTTTATTGTAAGAGGATAACATATAGTGCAAATTCTATTATCGGAGTGTTGACTTAATATTATTATTTTGTTATGTTCATGGCTTTGGCAGAGCGTCTCTTGATAATGCTTCTGATTAGGTAAGCCTCTTTCAAGATTATTCTTTGTTTGTTTTACTATTTTCGCAGCACAAAATATCTACCAAATTTGGTAGGTTATACTTTCATTAGGAGTACATAAATATCATTGGTGGCAGCTGATTTGTTTTTTTCAAAAACAACTATTCGCAGAGACAACTTTGTCTCAGATTAACTATCAACTATATGTGTCATGATACATCCTACAATGACAGTTGTAGCGAGTTTTCCTATCCAAATGTATTAAAAAGAAATGTGATGCCAACGGACATATTGTGTAATTATGACAACTCGTATATACAAATTGATTATTAACAGGATAAAAGTTGTAAGATTTTACTGTGTTTAAGTCGTTGCTTATATATCCTCATTGATTGTGTTGTCACAGTTTCTCTATTTTTTCATCTTTGAGATGATATTTTGACTTCTCTTTTTATTTGTGAAGGGATAGTTGTATTTGCTATATCTTCTGGCTGACTAATTTCTATGCTGGATGATTAAGGTGTACTAATCGTTACTAAAGTTTTTTTCCTATTGAGATTCTTGTAATATTGACATAATATGAATGAAAAGTTATTGTTTATCAAGAGAAAACGATGCCCATAATCACTTTTCATATTCTATTGCGTCTTATCTTCTTCAATGATAAAACTTCATTTTAAATTCTTAAGCCAGTTGAAGCCCTACTAATATGATTGCTAAACTTTATTACATCTTCTTAAGGTTTAATAACCCTTATAATAGTACATGATTTGTGTTTGTTCCTATATTCTAGGTTAACTAATAAGATTAGTTAGTTGAAATTTACAGCTTTCATTGAATCACAAACATCAAGATCTCGTAGTCTTATTGATTCTTTTTTAAGTGTTTATACCTTTTATGTTCTTTCCTTTTAGAGAGGGAGAAATTAGTGAAGCACATGTAGAGTGTATGTACAAACACCCGCGGACCAGATGGACTAAATTTTGGCCAAAGGTTTCTGAAGAATCCTATGGGAAATTAAACAGTGATGTTCTTGAAGTAAGAGTGGCTATTATTTCTGAGAACTCTAAAATATTTGTTCATTTCATTGATATTGGACAAACACCTCTACATTCATTGGTTATTTTTCTCTTTCAAATAGGATTTTTTATGTAATCAACCTGTGGATGTTCACACTTGATTATACTTGGACATGTGGTGTTGTTTAGTTGTCTTCATTGATCAAATGTGAGGGTGATTGTGCTTATAGTTTAAAAGAAAAACTTACAATCTAAGATAGACATTCATTTTGCTGCAATGAAGTTAAAAATTAGTTTAGCCAATGAACATTTATACTGCTGTGCATACTCTTTCTTATGAGGTAATTTTGTGTAAAAATTAATCAATTGTATCAATACAACTGCACCTCAAGAGGATTGTTGGAATATGAGTATTAAGAGCATTGTTAAATTTATTTACAAAGTTAACTTTGTATGTCTTGGATGCAAGTTTGCTAATTTAGATATAAATATGGCCTAGAATTTTGAAGTTTTTCAGATAGAAATATGGCTTGTAAGGGGTTTTTGTTTAAGTGAAGATCTATGCTAACTTGTTCTTTTCATTCTAAGTTATTATATGTTTTCATTTGGATCTTATCTTTTTTCCATTAGTGCAAATGGAAGGCGTAGTTGTTGAAACTCTATAAAGAGAAATTGGTTATGTTTTATTAGGACATTTAGGACAAACATAATGAATCTGTATTTAAAAAAATTGCTTATTTAATATGAGTCTGCATTTGAAAAATGTGATGGAACAAACTATACAGGAGAATTATATGTTATTGAAAGAGAGAGACAACATGTACAATATTTAGGTTCTCTCCAGTAATGTTATCATCTTCAAACTTTATGTGTGTTATCATCTTCAAACTTTATGTGTGCAATTATTTTTGTTTTCCTCAGATGCTATTTGATATTTATTAGTATTTGATACTTTCTTAAAGGCACCCTTCTTATACTTTTTGCAGGACTTGAAGATTAGAAGTTACAAAGTCAAGCTGCAAGTTTTGAAGACTTGATACAAGATGAAAAATTGATTTTGTTTTACTAGGAAGTCATTTAGGGAAATCATATCATTTTTTGCCAAGTGACTGTATAAATTATTTATGATTTACATGAACTATCAGTGGGATGTTATACACTTTTTGTATGCCTTTATAATAAGCAAGCATGAAATTATTGATAATTTTGTTTATGTTGTTGGGATTATATATAAATTCAAAAATTTGTAGGAAATGGTCATACACTATTTAGTGACCTGCATTTTATGGTCTATAAATATCTTTTAAGGACCAGATTATCGGTCCTAAATAGTTTTTTAGGACTATTCAAAACTATTTACTATCTATGGTTAGGGGCCGGTGAAGTGGTCTCAGAAAGAGATTTTGGGATCAGTATTTTTCCAGTCGCCAAACCATCTAAGGACCAGTGTTAGAACCCCATCCCTATTGACCTTTAGAGAAGGAGCCTATAGGGACGAGTGGCGACCACCTTTTTCTGGTCGAGATTATCTTTTAGGGACCAAATTTAGACTTTTAGGGACCACTTTCCTCGTCCTTAGTAGTTGTTTTTCTTGTAGTGAAAGGTAGGCTACAACTTTCTTTCTATTAGATTGAACTTAATTGTGTAAAATCATGTGGATTGGAGTGAATTGGAGGTGGGTACCAGTTTCTTACTTTACTTTGATTAGATACCTTATGTTAGGATTGATTGACCATATTTCGAGCGTAGTACCAAATTAGCCAGGTTAGTAGAATTGCATGCTTATGTGCTAAATGCTATTTTATGCTTGTATGATATCTGTTGTATGCTTTGTTCATCGTCAACTATAATCATGATGTCATTGGTCTAGGTTAGGCTAGTGTTGCCTTAGACTTATGACCCGTGTGGGTTGGATAGCCTTCACTATCTGCCGACGTCGTTCGGATGACTTAGCTTCTTATAGACTAGAGTAGCAGACTTGAGTCTGATAGTTTGAGCCTTAGATTAGGCGCTATCGCTGCTTGTTGCACTTTCGTATCTTTTCCCTCTAATTCTGCGATTCTAACGCGTTCTCGGAGGTTCGGTGCATCTCTAAAGGTGTGTGATTGAGATAGTATAAGCTTGGAGCCTTTTTCATGATTTCTTGGAGTGGACGACGTTCCACGGTTGCTGTTGCTGGATTGGATCCTATTAGAGATACCTTCACCCTCGGGGTCGTTCTTTCGAGCTGGGCTGGGAGCGTATTGTTGGCTGGGTGGACTCGGTGATTTCGACGATCGCCCTCGAGCCTCTCTTTCTAGCCGGGCTGGGAGTGTGGTGTTGGCTGGGTGTCCCCGGGTCACTTTTTCTAGCTGGGCTGGGAGCTGACTGCATGGTAGGACGACTCGCGATATCAACCTCACCCCCAGGTCCCTCTTTCTAGCTAGGCTGGGAGTGGACTGTCTGGTTGGGTGCCCCCGGGGTCACTCTTTCTAGTTGGGCTGGGAGTGCACTACTAGCTGGGTGGAGTCTGATGGGTTATCTTGGTTACCTTGGGCTGGGAGCCCAGTTTTCTTCTTTCTTGGTAGACTTAGCTATTATGTGTATCTGTCGGGCTTATAGGGGTCGTTCAGGTTTTATTTAACTTTGCACACGAGTGTACCTTCTGGGCTTCTGGGGTCCAGTTATATTTAGTTTAGCTATACTTAGTTTATTTCTGGTATGCTCGTGTGTTTTATTTCCATATCCGCTTTGACCTCTTTGTGTCTAGATTCTATCATTTCTTATTGTTTTTATTTGCTCAGTCGATATTTGATGCCTACTGAGTACCTATTGTTTTGGTACTCATGCTACACTCTGCATCTATTTCGTGATGCAGGTCCTAGTACCAGTTACCAACGGTGATTAGTTCCTACCCTCTTTTGCAGCTATGGTTCGGAGACGAGGGTGAGAACTTGACATTTTGGGTTTATCTTGTCTCCTTCTTTTGTTTTAGCTAGTCTTGTTGCTTTTCGAGACACGCTTTGATGTGGTCCACTTTTGGGACATGTATTCCTTATTACACAACTCTGTACTAGTGACTTCCGGGTTCTGGAAGGAATTTCTGTATATATTTATTTTGGTTTGCTTCCACCTTGTTGTCCTTTGTTTAGATTATTGTTTTCGCTAGTTTCTACCCTTACGCTCATTACTTGATGTTCTGGGTTACGGGTTGACTTACCTAATGGTGGGGTATAGTAGGTGCTATGGAAGATGGGAAGGTGTCTTCTCTTGGCCTAGGCCTACTTGGGTCAACACCCATAAAGTGTTGAATATCGTCGAAGAAGAAGTAGAAGTGTCAATTATTGGAGATCCTTAAGCACAAGCAAGTCCAAATTACAAGTTAGTTGATTATGAAAGTTATGAGTCAATTACTGTTAATAATAAAACAGATGAATTAAAAAAATGATTCAAAATATTTAGAATTTACAGTTTATTAGAGACAACTAATTGTAAGTTTGTAACTTTGTATATTTTAAATTTTATCAATCTATTAGTAAAGTCAAAGGCTCATTGAGTCTTTGTATTTCTTAATTTCTGGTTTTATAAAATTTGTATATCTTCAATTAAATAATTTTAATTACATTACATAACCATATATTGAAAATTAAATTTGTAGTCCCTATAATAAGTCAATACTTAAAAAATAATGTTAACAAATATTAATTAAACAAGTATTGACATATAAAAATTTAAAATACTTTTATTATATATATATATATATATATGTAATGACAAATTGATCCCATTAGGTGTGCATAAATTTGTTTGCAATAAATTTGAAGTGCTGAAAATATATTGCAATCACAAAATAAACAAAAAAATAATTTAATTTATCAAGATTATGAGTACAAATTTGTTTATCCCTTAGTTTTTCTTTCTTGAGATTTCTCAATGATTCAAGCATTGTTAGTGATGTATTTCTTAAACTAGGATGATGTGGATCTCCTTGAGATTTATTTGATCTCCATGAAAGGATTTTATCTTCTTGAAGTATATGGTTGTCAAGAAGATTTGTCCACATCTCGATCTCTCTGTGAATATTCCAATGAGTTTATAAAAAAATTCAGATGTCTCTTCAAGGGTGTATATTACTCTTTAAATACGCATGAGTTAGGGTATATAGTAGAATAGCCTCCAACAACCTAATTAAATTCGACTCGTCTTATAAAGTCCCACAAAACTACTCCTAGAGTACTAAATGATAGATTAGACCCATATCATAGTGTCCAATTATTGTTATAATAAATAACAAGTTCGAGAATAAATGTTACTATATAAAGCCGTACTTGTGAGGGATTTTTATTGTAAACTTAGGGCTAACAAATTAAAGTTTACGTGATTATTCCAAGTTCTCTCGAAATCCTCATTATTGTCTCCTCATTGCTCAACTTTTTGCCGTCTATTCGTGGGAAGAGCAATCAAGTCAAATAATTAATTTTAAAACGTGCATCCACGTATGCATCATTTATTATAGTTTGGTATTTTCATGGGAAAAATAAGAACGTATATACTATAATAATATTTTGAATTTTATGAGGATGAAATGAATGCCAGGTCAGCCATGGCAAAAGAAGCCACTTGTTAATTAAAAACATTTGAGTGCATTAGATTATTTAAGGGTCCACAAATTTAATAGATCACCACATACAACAAGAGAAGTATCAACAACCATAGGTATTGATATGATTGAATTTTGGCTGCGACTATATCAAATTTTGCTTAGTTTGCATGGATTGAGTTACATTCCCAATCATGCAGGGCAAAATTAAAAACTTATCATCAAAACCTCAATTATTTAATTGACATTGACAAATGCCATCTATCATCATCCATATTTTCAATAGTTATTTCATCCCCCTCTTCTTGCTAATAAATTTAAATATCAAAGAAAGAACTAGGCTCAAAATGAGCCATAGTAGGTTTTAATTATGATTATTTGAAAGAAGTGGAGGAAGTGCATTTGATTTTGATGCTTCATATTTGATTAAATGAACTCATTTGATTTTGATGTATCATACTCAACAAATAATTTTCTGGATAGTCATCCATGTTATTAAAATTTTCTAATAATATATTTTTGTTTCTTATAAAATTACAATATCACTCAATTATTTCTATTTTCCTCAAAATATATACTTAACACAATAAAAACATTATTTTCTCTCCTAATGGATATCATGTCATTTTTATTTTATTTTTAAAAAAAATAATTTAAAAATTCTTTAAATCCTTCCATATTTTATAATACCTTATTCTGACCCATATATCTTCATTGAAACTTCCTGAACCACAATTAGTTTTACCGTTTCTGCTATAAAATTGAAGTATCTAGATTCTCAAAAAAATATGTATCGGACTAGTGCAAGTATAAAAGCAACATGCAAAGTTATTCACCTCTGCAGCTTCAAAATTTTCAAAAATTTTCATGAACGGGATAAATACTTCAGTTAAATACGTAAAAGAAATCGCCAATAGAGATATTAAACAAGTTTCAATTGTATTCTTTAAAAAGAATAATTATTGTTACTAGTCAATTTTCCAAACATACGTAACTATTCAAGAAATTACTCTTAATTTATTAAAAACGCATCACACAACATGATCTTTGTCTAAATTTGAAGTACCTGATATGTTTCCCATCTAACTATTATATGTTGAATTGGGACTTCAACTAGAAAATGACCCCTTCTTTTGGGTTCGGTAAATATTGGGCGTACATCATATGGAAGAACAATTTACAAATAAAAGAAATTCAGTTTAAACGCTATAGAAAGTGTCAAAAGCAGAAATTAATTTTCATGAAATATTTAAAATCATAACTTTAATACTCTTTTATTTTAATTTATGTGATGTAGTTTAACAACAAAAAAAAAATGATAGCTTGATACCTTTGTGACTGTCAATCAATTCATCAACGATAAACTTGATATTTTATTAAATTGTTTCTAAATATAAAAATGTATCATTTTTAATTAGAACGGCTTAAGAAGAAGAGTGAGTCATTTATATAAACTGGAACCGAGAAAGTAATATATTTTATTCTTTTGAAAATTAGGGTTCAATCAAACAAATGCCACATGAATTCAAAAGGATCATTAGAAACATCATTTAACAAACTTATGGAAGACGTTTTTTAATCCCGCAAATAATATTCCCACTAA